AAAAAAAAAAAAAAAAAAAAAACCTCCCTCCCTACCATGAAATTTGATACCAAAAGGATGCTAACCAATTATTTTTTTTTACTTGGCCTAACATTGTTAATTGCTATAAATATGAGTTCAGAATTGGTTATTATGCGTTGCCATTGATCTTACCTAATTAATGCATTACATAATAAAACTTGATCACTGATCTACACTGATAACACTGGCCGACTGATGGCGTATTTTTCTATCCGTATTATTACCTCATGAATATTAATTTTAATAATTAACACAAACCATTACAATAAAAAATGCTTTATATATTGAACTAAAAGGGAAACTATACATGCGAAAAACATTTTCATTAAGCTTGGGTAGTTTTGGGCAATTTTTGCTGAATCTTGGGTAATTTCGACCTAGTCATTGGGTATATCAAAAATTGTGAGTGGTCACGCTGATTCAGCCAAAGGCCAGTGAAAGTTGAGAGGCAGCCGGGTTTTTATCGTTATTTGCCATTCTTATATGTGCCAATCATAAAGTCATGTTTTGCTGGAGTTGTGTTCAATTTAAATCTCCGAACTTCTGAAGCTGAGATATTCTATGAATAGGCTTGTATCGCAGGCTACAATTTAAAAACGGGTGACCAAATAATGAATTAGGTACTAAATTTTGATTTAATGCTGGGTAAGTTAAAAACAGACATTCCGTCCGAGTGGGACTCATTCAAAAATTCGAGGGGGTTCGCTAGAAAAGGGGGGTTCGCCCGAACCATAAAACCCCCCTGTCTTTCCATGAGATACCGTACCTTAGATCACCGATTGTTGGTCGCAGATTTAGTTGTAAATGAGAGGTCAAGTAAGAAGTAATTAAGACATATTTCTATTTTGAATTCCTTACTTACAATTTAGCTTATTAAAAGGTTATAGGGTCACAACAGAACAATACAACGTTAGTTGTCCCTGAGCTACCAGATGTTTACATACCATTGAACAATTTGTTTTATGGAGAAAGGTAAAGATAAGGACTAAATCAAGGTGTTTGCAGTGCAGTGCATATCTAATTATTCAAGCTAACTCAATCAAAGGCCTTTCTAACAGTCATGGACCTACTATTACAAGTCCCTGGTCCATGGTGCTAACCACATTGAACCAGCATTTGGATAAATAGAGAGCGGCTCTCAATTTACGCATGATGATTAATCATAATAACCGGATTATAGCGGGATTGAAATTCCTAGTCACGCACCAGAGCACAATATATTGGTCAAAGCAGGGAGTTAATTGTTATCACTATAACAAATCCCTGGTACAACCATGGAGAAAATACTCCATGGTACAACCAACTATAATAGCATTTTAGTTATGAAATTTCTAAGCATCGATTAACGTACTCTTTTATTTTTATTTGCTTAAAGACCCTTATTACTATAGTCGCTTTGATTGATTGATTTATTGGTTTAACTTTCTTTTATTAGGGAACCTATAACAGGCTGACTCAAAGAGGCCCTCATAAAAATACAAAACAAGCAGTAACACGAGTAAAATACAAAAAGCACAATAAAAAAATACAATATATGTTCTTTTCAAAAATCAATAAAAATTACCATATCAAATTTAATTTGTATAAAATCAATCATAGGCTAGTTTTAGCCCTGAGTAAAGTTAACAATCGTTAAATCACCGTTCATCCCCATGATTAATTTATCTTATTTTTACATTGCTTAACTGTTATCAAAAAGGTGTTATTGAATTAATGAAGTACTTTTCAAGTGTATATGGCTAAAGGTTAAGACGGTCACCCGCAATAAAATAGTTCAGGCTAACAACAAAACGTTTCGAAAGGTTATGTATACTTTACATTACGGGCGTGTCGAATACACGCCCGTAATGTAACTTGATTAGACGGTGTGCATCAGTACCCAACGCTGAACAGCGTACGTAGGGCCTATTCAAAAAACAAAATCTGATTTGTATCAATAAAGACGCACATTCAGTTAAAGAATATTGAAAACTGTCCCAAATATGAATTGCTTAACTTGTATATTTAAGTAAATGTTTAAGTTAATTTAAAATTTAAAATGTAAAAAATAAGAATCTCGTAAAAATAGAACATTTCAATAATACCTTTACATTTGGCTGGTAGGCCTAATAAATTAAAAATGTTCGGTAAGAAAACATATCTAAATCAGCGAAAACTATGTTTTCGATCTCTTTCTGGTTGGAAGTCAATAATTTATTTTGATATTTTTAATTGAGCTTTTAAAAATTTAAGTTGATTTCCTTTTTTTTTTTTTTTTTGCAGCATCTTTAATTACCTTGTCAGTGGTCCGTTTCAGTTTCTTAAACTCATTAAAAGGGGTCTAATAGATTTTGATGTCATATCGGTATCGTCAAAATGTGTTCATTATACTTCGCCCAATGATACAATAATATCCTCAAACAATTTTTGGCTAAATGGTTGATTTTGTGTGGTGGATACCCCTATTGAAAAATATATATCCTTAAGTAAAAAATAATGATCTTAGATGTTAAACTGTCTTTCTTTTTATTGGTATTTTGAAATATAACATGTACTTCTGTAAAGAAACACTCGTGTCAGTTTACTCACAACTTGAAATTAAGAAATATGCCTTTTTACTGGCCTTTAATGTCGTATATTTACGTTCTCTGACAAAAATGTAAACAATTGCCGGTAAACATTTATTTTATTTTATTTCATCACACATACGGGTAGCCCGCCAGTAACAGGATGGAATAGAATAAAATAATATTTACAATTTCAAAATACAAATCATAATAAAAATCAAAAGCCACCAGAAATAGACAAGAAAGTGTAACAATTACACAAAAACAATGTCGTATTTTAGTTGACTCAAAACATAATTAGTAATAACAAGAACATTTTTATTATTATTATATATCTATATCGTGTGAAAACAATCATTAAAACACTTATTTATGTTATATATTTATTTAATTTTATTCAATTACCAGGTATAAACAAATATAGGCCTACAAACAAAGATACATGGGAAGGCAAAATGAAAATCGCCAGCTGGAGTAACAGTTAGCCTGGCAATTGCTAGTGTAAAACACTATCAGAGTAGCTCTCATATTCTGCACATTCTCAAACCAGCACAAATTCAACGATAAAACACATATTTAAAGTTAGAATTATTTGGTTAAAATATTACAATAACAAAAGGGACTAATTCGTAATGTAAAAAAGCTCATTTGTTTACTTACTAAGTGAAAGACCTACCTTGTAATTGTACTACGTACTACGCATACGTACAGGCCTAAAATAATAATTCTATTTTTTCTAGCAACTTTGAAATGTCTGATACACTAGTCAAGAATCTTAGGTTTCCCTACTAGTCGAGCTTAATGGAATCTAAAATATATATGAAAGGCAGACCAATAGAATGATCTTCAGCTACCGAATTTGACACGCGATTGAACATTTTGTTTTGGAGAAAGGACTAAACCACCCTGTTTGCAGTGAAGCGGATAATTTTCAAGCTAAGCTAACTCAATCAATCAAAACCTCTTGTAATAACCGGACCTTACATATGGTTCCGGGAGACCCTGGTTCGAGAGTACAGTTGGTGCCCTTGACGTATATAAATTAGCCTAACATGTACAAATATTAATCTTTATAATAATAATAATAACAATAATAATATTTATTGGATTCACTTTTGCATCAGTGGCACACATCAGACAATACCAGGTTGTGCATCCATTCGAGAAAAAAATAAAGAAATTAAATCAAATTCAAAACAAAAGGAACATCACAAACAAGGGTGAATTAAAGGCCTATGGTTACAGAATGACAGAGATGGTTATTGAAGGTAACTTATAGAAGTAAAATAAATGGATACATAACTTGGTGTTCATAATGAGATAGTATGGTTTGCAGTTAAAGTAGGCCTATATAGACCAATTAAATGAGATACAATTAAATAAAATACTGTAAAATAAAACAAACGTTTAAACAAGTATATAAGTCAAACAAAAGGAAAGGAAATAAAATTACACAGTAGGCCTACAGTAGTACAACAAAACCTTAAATTTAAATTGCTGTACAAATAAGAAATCATTGGCATCAGGTAATGTTGAATAGAGAAATTAGTTGTTTACTGAAAAAGTGTTATTAAATGTCATTGCGTTCTTTCCATGCATTAATTAAATATAGTTTGTAATATTTATCGAATAGTTTGATTGTTAGTTCATATTCCTCATCGGATAAATATCTTTCTGTAATTTGGTATTCATTGCGAATTACTAGGTCATCGAAAAATAGGTGATATTTAAGTTCAAGAGAGCATGAAGTAAATAAATTCCAAAGTATATTTAAATTATTGTAATGTAAGTCTTCTTTAAGTTATTTTAATATTGGTTCCCTATGCTTTAATTTGTTGCAGTTAAATATAAAATGATAAATTGTTGCCTTTTCACCACAATCACGTATCAAGCTTAGGCCGAAATTTCCATGATTCCTTTCTTCCTTCAAGTGGTGATGAATCAGAACGAGCTTTAAATTTTAGACTTGATGCATAGTAGGTACTTTTCCAATAAGTACTTTTCCATTTTTGGTACATTTTTATATTTCAAGTAATTAGTTAAAGATGATTTAGTTTGAGCAGGGAACAGTTTGAGCCTTATCAAACCAATTTATGTTATCTTGTAAAATATTTTTTTTTCTTTGAAACCATTAAGCCATTTAGTAGCGCGTTCAGTATTAAACATAGTATGTAAATCACATTCATCCAAAATATTTTCAATATTGTGGAGCCATTTCCAACTTCATACGTCAAAGAGAGCTTTTACTGAAGTAATCCATAGTAAACTTACAGTTGGCTTTCTGGTGCTTACCGGTTCAATTCAATTTGCTGCTCTCATGTTTCAGCTGTGCTTAAATACACGTTACGATAGCGCACCATCTTTCGGATGAGACATTAAGGCCGTGTGAAATATGACCAAATGTGCACGTTAAAGAACTCCGCGTGTGCGACACACTCTTCGGAAGAGTAGGACCAGCTGGTCTCCCGGTGTTATTCCCAACTCACCACCAGAAGTTCAAAATCGATATTGATTAGTTACTTGTACATTCAATAATAAAAATCAATTTTAATTTTACTAACAGTGAACTCACGCATCCAAAAGTCTGACCTGAAGCGCTTTTAATTTACTGTTGTTTGGTTTGATAGTTTTTTTAAATATATATAATTAAAGCAGTAGGACTAGACACGTTAGTATCTGGGTTTCTCAACGTAAAATTATCGGTAAATCTCGGCAACACTTACAAAAAAATTTATGTAAAATATTTATATGTAACTTTAGCGGTTCCAGACATTTTCAGGAGGTGGGGGGGGGGGGGTGGCAGAAGAAAAGGAGCACTCCTGTGTAGATAATAAAAGTTTTAAACGACGTGCGGAACACGAAGAGAAGGAAATGGAAGACGGTGTCTCTTCCCAATGGCTAGATGAAATCATATTATCTGAACTGTTTTGTCATCCTCCCATCTCTGAAAAACGTACGTAGGCATATGTAACTTAATATATAAAAATAATGATTAGATAAAAATTATTCTCATAAATGAACACAAATTTAATTCAATTCAATTAACATTTATTCAATTAATTAATAAATACATCAAATGATAAATAAAGTGGACAACATTAAAATTAATTAATTAGGATCAAAAATAGAAGCGAATCTTGTCTCAATTTGACCCCGACAAAACAAAAAGTAAAAACTAATAATAAACGCATATCAAGTAGACCTACATTTTATATATACATATATATATATATATACACACATATATATATATATATATATATACATATACATATACACCCCCATACATACATATAAATACACACACACGCGAACAAACACACATATACGTACACACATACATATATACACACAAACCAACATATACACATAATACACACACATATATATACATACAATATAAATCATCAAAGGTACATATGCAGTGTTTAGATAAAGACATGATGGAACATCGTAGGCTACCCTGTAGCTATTTAACAAATGTCCATGTATATATGTTTGAATATCATACAT